ATTATCAATCCTTCCAATGAGCAGTCAGGGTTGATTTCCTTTATTGAATGTTCATCTTTACTGCATATTTCCAAACTATAGTATCCAGCTTTCTCCAGAACCTGTCCCACCTCATTTAACTTGGATAATTTTGGTAGACCTTTTTAGAAAATTCTGCACGTCTATAAACTCATTTTTGAGACAGTGATTAGACTTGAACACTCTGGTAAAGTATTGTGCATTAAAATTCATATAAATTGCAGTCATGTAATTGATTCTTTAATATTCTGTCTCCTTCCTAATGATCTGTAATATGTAATATAACTTTTTCTACAGCAGCCACCCACAGGATTGAAATTTTCATGCGGCTATTTTGTAGTCTTGAGATCTCTCTTCTACCCAGTAAGGAAAGGGCAGGAGGATAAGGGGTGGGGGGAGAGAAAGGGATGGGAATGGAAGCATGCTGAAACACAAAAGACCCATAATGATTACAATGTCAGATGAACATGCCATTTATGTCCATTAGAGAGCAGCAAAGTGCTTTAATGGCATGTGTTCACATGCACACAGAGGAAAGTAGATTTAGTTAGAGCAGCCTTCTGTTTTGAGAAGGTAAAAATCAGTGTGCTTTGTTTTCAGGGTTATGGGGAGAGATTCATTGTAACAGATCCACCTATGAGATGCAGTTTGATAATTGCAAAAATCTCGAGCTTTGAACAGCTCTTTCAACAGCTGTCTTATCCAACAAAATTGTATAGTCATCATGAGGATTTGGTTTAATCATTTTATGTAAGGCTGAAGAGTCAATCCATCTGTTAATTTGTACAGATGGAAATTAATGCCAATCTGATTATTCAGTTATTGCCAGTTGATTCCCTGTGTCCTGAGTCTAGACATATATATAATCATGCAAAGATTTCAAATTGCTGTACCCAGGATTTTGCTCAAAATAGTGTCAGCATTTTTTAATACTCATGTTTCAGCTAAAATTCATTGTCTTCAGGAGTGACATTGATTTAAAAAAGAATCTTTAGCAGAAATACATGGAAAGCTGATGGAAATGGGCAATTGCATCCATTAAATTGCTGATATGCACTTGAGGGAAAATAGAAGGAGAATCTAATTTCCTACAAAATCAGACTAAGGGAGGAAATAGTTGGACTGCATTTTAATACAAACTGATCTAATTTATACTTCCTGAGATAAGATATGAACTGGAACTGACATCTCCAATTACATATTTTTAAACGATTGCACACAATTCATACACTGAGAAAACTGGTTGCAAATACTGAATTATTGGAATTAAAGAATTTAAGTTTTTTTAAAAAATAAAATTTCTAGAAGGCAAAACACTGTTATCTGTAGTACAGACTAGTACCATCCATAAGAGCAGTATTGATCTCTCTGGGAGAGATGTTTCTCTTTTCATATCATCATAGAGTGGATGGACTTCAAAGCTCATGTACCACATCTTAATATATCTATTCAGGCTACAGTACCTGGCCTGCAAAAAGGTAGACCACTAGATGGCAGGAGAGACCTATTCCTATTTCCTGCCATCCTGTGATTGTTAAGATTTTTGCTACCTTTGATTCCTTTTTGCTGCAATTTTCCTGATAGCCATCTAGGTTCTACCTTTTTTTTTTTTTTTATCCGTTCAATCGTGTCTGATTCTCAGAGACTGCCTGGACAAGTCCTTGCAGTCTTCTTGGCAAGGTTTTTTAGAAATGGTTTACCTAGTGCTGAAAGAGAGTGACTGGCCCAAGGTCACCCAGCTGGCTTTGTGCTGAGGCAGGACTAGAACTCAGAGTCTCTCAATTCTAGCCTGATACCTTAACCACTACACCAAGCTGGCTCTCAGGTTCTACTTAACCCTCTCTAAATTTGCCCTTATAAATGATAATGCAGAGGGAGATACGGTCTCTTTGTTGTATTATTTTACATTACATATTTGTAATCTAGTTTTCCTTCAGGAGCAAAAAGCAATAACCATGGTTTTCTGTTCTCCCCCATCCTGAAAGCTGCATTAAATTGAGAGGTAGTGACTGGCCCAAAGCAATTCTGGGAGCTTCACAGCTGAGTAAGGATTTGAACCTGGATTTCCCATTATTGTAGTCCAACAGTCCTCACTGGCTCCCTCATAGATCTCCAATGGAAGCAGAGTCAAGGTCTTCCTTCCACTGACTTCCTCATCTGGCTTCACAGCTGATCACACACAAGGGACAGGCTTACACCCAAAGCAAAATTTTGATTATCCCTGGAGTAGCTGGGTGCTTTCTGAATTCATATGCTGTTTTCTGAAGCTTTTGTATTACTGGCTAATTTAGAATTGGCAGGATGGATAGCCAAGCAGGAGGACATTAAAAGAGGTGCCAGGACAGAACCAAACAGCATCATGTTTATTTAAATTGTCCCCATTAATTACTTACAGCACTAAGGGCTGTTCCTCCATCTGCCAGAGTTAGCCCAGCCGGAGTGGCGAGGATGGTCTCCAGAATTCAACTTACAAAGGGGTTGCTTTTGTTGGGCAAGTTGCAACTTCTCTTTCCCCTTCCATTCCCAGAATTACTCAGTTTAGGTATCAGTAAAGGAAGGTTAGATGGATATTAATGAGATATTAATGAGGATTAAGAGTTTAGCAGGCACAAGCGGGAAATAATTATCTGAGTGGGGTTAGAGTTGGAAGTTTGTTATCTCACAGCTTGCAAGGGTAAATAGGAAGAGCTAGCTTATCTAAACAGCCTCTCTTCTAGGTGTTAATTGAAAAATGCAGGTCAGTCACAGGATATATGCTATTTGACAGAAAGAAATGCAAATACAGCCACAGGTGCTGGATCAATCTTGAGAAATGCCTCTGCTAATTCCCATCTGTTTAGTAGTGATGACTTTTGTAAGTGTTATATTCCTCTTCTGCCTTAGTTTTACTCACCCTTGTGAGAGGAGAAAGAAGATGGAAATTATCTGCCCTAAGTTAGCAAGTAACTTAGGGTGTCAATGAAACTGAACATTATGTAACTGGATAAAATATTAAGTGTTAAATATTATGTAACTGCAACTATGTTGTTGAAACTTGATTACTTCATTCCAGTTTCCTATTTTCTTTTCCCCACCTTAAATACTTTGACACCACAAAGCTTATTCTTCAAAGCTGAAAACACAATGCATTTTTTCGCCCATCTAATTAATAGGTAATAATAGTTTCCCTCCACAGTAACGAAGCTACTGCTGGTCTAATTGGGCCTTTTCTGTAGCTGCTTCTGATCTCAGGCATATGCTCCTTAATAAAGAAAAGTTGAACTTTATGAAAAGAGCAGATTTTAATTGACATATTAAAGGTTTTTGAACTAAAGTATAGAAATAACATGTAATATATAGAAATGCAATGAAATGTAAGCTATGTGTCACTAGACCTCACATACCTCCTAACTGATGGGGTATTGGTACAGCAGCTTGCAAAATAGTGCCTGGATTAGAGATACTAGCTTGCACAGAACAGCATGAACATGCTTGGGATAAAACTCAGCTTTGGTTACACCTGTGGCATAGTGGCTTATCTATATCAAAATTGACCAGTACTGTTGTTACCATTAATGGGGAATGCTGGATGTGGCATCGGTATGACTAAATCTGGTAACCTACTCTACATCTTCTCTATTTTACTAAAAAGCATTATGTAAAAGCCTCAGGCAAAACCATGATGGGCAGCAGAGGTCAATATCTATAGGCCCATCTAGGGATGATCATGACATATGGAAAGTTCTGACATGGGTGTATAAGAGGAGTAAATGGGAAATAGCATGAATTAATGATATAAAGTAAAATGTGTTGTACTATCTAAGAAACTAAATTAGAAAAAGGAGAAAGATGTAATAGTCTGAAGATACTCTGACGTTTTTGAGTGGAGTTATTGAATGCATGCTGTGAAGTACAGGTCTAGGCTTACTTACAAGTAATTATAATTAATTATGAATGAAAAGGCTGAAAGTATCTCAGAAGGTACGAATTTGTGTCATCTAAGTTGCTGTGGGTGCATATGAAAGGAAGAATCCATAGATTGGTGAGAGTTGCATGTTATGCTCCAGTGAATGGTGATAATAGAAGAACCAGGGATGAGTTCTGGGGAAAATTATGCAACATTCTGAATGAATGCACACCAGGGGGAAAATTATTCTGTTAAGTGATACGAATGGATAGGTGGGAATGAGATGAGAAAGTCGAGAAAAGTTGTGAATGGGCCTTTCAGAAACCCAAGAATGAATGAAAATGGTGATTGGTGAATATTTGCTTAGAAAATGCCTATTTCAGATGCATTATTTAAGCATAAGTCTATACATACATACACATAGCAAGAGGATGGATCTAAATCCAAAACCATGACTGATTTAATTGTTTATGATAAAAGA